CCAAACCACCTGACCTCCTTGTTGCCACTTGGTTGGCCCGTAACAATAGCTGTCGGCGACGGAGGATTTTTTCTGTTTGTTCTTCATCGTCCACTGCATCACTTCCTCTTTTTTCACCTTTATTATTAATATCACAACTATTTGGCTGTTTAAAGAAACTTCTGACACTCAGCTGCTGTGAGATTTTTGCAACTACGCAGCGGTGACAAAGAGGAGACAAAACAAGGGCTATCACCATCAGCTGTACAAGAGTGGGAATTACAGTTACAAATTACAGTAGATCACCCTCAGCATAATCTGTCAAAATGAAGGATCACTTTCAGATTTTTCCGTCACTGCTATTCATGCTAAATCTTGCTAAATTCTTGCTGCTATATGCTAAAATCTATCAATGACGGAAAATATTTGGCTAACGCGACCTCATATATATGTATGTATGTATGTATGTATATATATATATATATATATATATATATATATATATATATATGTGTATATATATGTATGTATGTATGTATGTATGTATGTATATATATATATATATATATATATATATATATATATATATATATATATATGTATATATATATGTATATATATATATATATATATATATATATATATATATATATATATATATATATATATATATATATATATATACACACACACACACACACACACACACACACACACACATATAAGTAATATAACACGCAGAGTAGTAGTAATAATAATAATAATAATAATAATAATAATAATAATAACAATAATAATAATAATAATAACAATAATAATATTGGCATAGGTGGGAGACCAAGTGCCTTCATGCCCCACCAGTGTTGATAAACAGCCATATGGCACTGCTACTCGTGTGATTTTGCGTTTATACAACAGTTCGACAGCATAGTCATGTGTATAAAAGAGAAAATCAAACACAGAGAGTCTGAAAACCCTTTTGTATGAGGAACTACTTTCTTCCGCCGTTCATTCACATCTGCAGCTGACATCAGAACAGTAGAAGCCGTTACTAATTCACCAACGTCACTTTAGAACTAGTGTTTGAATGATTCTCTAGCATAATGTCTAAAGTGATGACTAGGGTTGTAACGGTATGAATTTTTCACGGTATGATAATCGTCTAAAACAATACCACGGTTTGACGGTTTCGCGGTATACGGTATGTTACAAATGTTACAAAATAATAGAACAGTGAAGCAAATTTGACTTTTTCCAAATAATATATTTTTAGTTACTATAAACAACACCACTTACAATGAACAAATAAAAATAAGAAAATAATAAATAATGTGTCAAAGTCCAAATAAAGTCCAAAAAAACATGGTGCAAATCCTCAGTAAAAAAATAGATATAAATATTTACTATACTATAAATAGTTACATAACGAAACTAGATTCAATATGGACCATCCTTAGGTTCTATGTGCCAGCATGGATTTGGATGTGGTTGTATGCAATGCAGACAAACAGCTGCATCTTCATTTGCGTCTTTTGAAAACAGCAAGAGCAGCAGTTCGTCTTTGCTGTGTCACTGTTTTGTCATGTTTCTGTGCTGCTGCGCATGCAAAAGTACTTAGTATGAGAATTATTTCATGCAAAACTTTTTTTTTTGCGTTTTATTTAGCCGCGCATAAATGTATGCCTATCTCTCATTCCGTGTTGTTCAAAAAGCTTGGTCCACAAACAAAAGCAAAACCTATGCTTATTGGTTGTGATATAGCGAGTTTGAACCAATCTGGGCATGGAGGAGGGACAATGCATCAATGTATCATGTCTGGTTTGTCCGGAGACACAGTGACGAGCGTTTCTTTGTCAAATCAGCGTTGTCAAATGTTGATGACGTAACCGCACTGATTCCGGAGCCTCTGAAAGTCCGCGAATGTTATGTGATACATCACTGGAAAGCTGAGATTCTCTTCTTTATGCCAATCTTTGAATTGTATGAATCGGATCAGCGGATCAAAAGTTATTAAACATTTAATAGCAATACTTATTTTTAGCCGCGGGCGGCTGTCTCGGTCTTTAAGGGTTAAAACCGTTGATGTGCAATTGTTCATGGTATGATAATCGTGCAAGTTCAAATCGTGGTAAACCGTCATACCGGTATATTGTTACAACCCTAGTGATGACTAAACAGCTGATTTTGCTCACATTGTAAGATGATAAGGCTGAACAGCATGAAATGCCATCCGTCTACAGAGATTTCACAGTACTTTTTGTTGTGATCGGGAGATCACAATTGTTAACTCCGAATAAGCCAACGCAAAAACTTGCAGATTACTGTTGTGTTGGCGATAAGGAAAAACGCTAAATCCATGCAGCATTTCTACTTTCTTTCTGTTCACTGAACTAGTCTGCAGTGAGTCCCATCTCACACTTAACACACTACAATTTCTATGGTATAAATACAGCACTACAATGTGCAAAAGAGAGTCACTTACCAGTTTAATAATGATTTGATCAGCTGTAGCTAGAAATTACGCTGGGTTTTTTCCCCGCTAAGGGCTTATTAAGCGGTCTCTGCATAGTTGCAATCTAAACAACTACATTCTTGGCTAAAAAAGCCTTGCCGGAAAAAGTACACTATGTTGTCCAACAGCTGCAATATTTGTCAAACTGTAGTGAGTTTATTAATCTGCTGT